AAAAAAAAAAATAAAAAAAAAAAATGAGCGAACAAATTGAAATATGCCTGAACTAGGAACGTCGTGTAGCCATTTCCGGAATGTGGATTCAGAGATGTTCACTTCAACAGAAGCTCTGTCCCCTTTCGTTGGGCCGTCAAAAATTGGAAGCTGGCCGTGAGGATACGCGCGAGAGCTATCGCCGGAGGTGGATTGGATGGCAACTCGACCGGGAAGCTGAATTGGCCTTAGGGATCTCAAAACTTTGAGGGATTCGAGCTTCGAGAGTGCTTCTTCGAGCCACTTGTCCCACAGAGAGGCATATTTGGCCTCCATTTTCAGGCGAGGCGCAGATACGCAAGGAAGGTGGAGAGAGTTTCTATAGGCGCAAGAGGCTATATGCATGTGATTGTATCTTCCAAAGTAAAACTCGCTTTGGCCTTCGTAGTTTTAGTTAAATCACAAACTTTACTTTAATTGCACTTATAATATAAAATTTTAATTTTTGCTAATTTAGGTATATATTAAATTTATTTATTTTGTAAGTTGAGACACGAAATAAGAAATCAAAAGTTATTGTCTACAAATTAAACGTACAACAGGAAAAAAAAAATAAATAAATACAACGTCACAAACACCTAGAGGTGCCCAGTCAACGGGCCGAGGCCCGGTACACCGGGCCACGGGCCCTCCAATACATGGCCCGTGGCCGGCCCGCTAAGAACCAAGGGTCGGTTCATAGAACCGGCCCGACCAGTCGGCTCATCGACCCAACGGTTTACAAGCCAATTCATGGGCCGGTACAGTCCTTTAAAAAAAACAAATAACTATGTGGCCTGTGGCCCGACCCGGACCGGCGAGACAAAAAAATTAAAAATAGAACCGAGACCGAACCGCAGTCCTAAGGTCCGGTGCAACGAACCGGCCCTTAGGAGGTCGGTTCAGAGCTGGGCCGGTGCCGGTTTGCGGGCAGCTTTGGCCCGTGGACATGCCTACAAACACCACGGTATATATATAATTAAATTTCATTTTGACAATGTAGTTCGACCACTCAACGCCCGACTCAATTTGAAAACATAGTTTGAAAGCTCGAACATAGTTGTTGTTCCAAATATTAAATTCCACCAATATATATCAAATTTTCGATATTTTAGTATATTTTTTATGATTTGAAGTAATTTTTCTAGATGAATTGAAATTATTTATTTATGATGCAATTAATAAAAAAAAATTATTGTTGATTCTCAAACGCAAGTCAATGTTTTAATTAACAAAAATTAATAAGTCCAACTTCAAACTTTTAAAGATTGAAAAGCTATGCTTGAGTTGAAATTAAAAAGTAAATATATGGCAAGTTTAGCTGCCTACTCGTCGGGTTAAATCAGATTTCATTCCCCTCCCCACTACTGGATTGGGAGCGTGGCTTCAGCATGACCATGACCTTATTGGGGTTTCTTACCTCCGTCGTGTTCTAGCCTAAAAGATTTCTAAGGTGTCTTGCCTCCTTTTTTGTAAAAAAAAAAAAGAAGTAAATATATTAATTATATAATGTTTCTAATGTTTACAACATATTATTAAAAAAAAATGTGTTTAATAATTGATTATTTTATTGCCCACGCTTACTCTCCTTAATTTTAGCTGGCACGTGACGAAGCTTTCCATTAATTAAAAAGTACAACAACATAATTTGGAAAAAAAGATCAAAATCAAATTATATTTTTTTTTTTTTGTACAGGAAAGGAAGCGATACTACTTCCGCTTTATCACGATCCGACGCTTTATCACGATCCGACGAGGATGAGACACCCCCGCGGAATCATGAAGTAACCATAGGCCCGCCCCATCAGGGGGATAGTCATACCGATGCAAGCCATCCGCTCCTTGAGCTGCCAAAGAGGCCAAAAAATCCGTCACGAAGTTGTTCTCACGATGCCCATGGACAAGCTCCAATTCCCAATCACGACCCATTAGCTCTTGAATGCCCCGAACAAGACTACTATGCGGCCCATCCGACTCCTCTCGACCAACCATCGATATAGTAACCTGATTATCCACTTCCACGATAAGCTTCCGAGCCCCAATGTCCCATGT